TTATCCCTGCACTGCCAATTTCTCACTCAGCTTCCGACTGGAATATTTGATTTTCCACTTACAGGCAGAATCCTGCCAGGAAGAAAGGCCCAAACCTTTTGATGGTTGAACAGAACTCACGGATCTGGCCACCATTCCCTTCCCTTTCTCCACAGGAAGTGAGAAATATCTGTGATGCTTTGGGCTTTGAGACCCAGAAGCTTACGTTTATTAATTAAAAAAAATTATGTGTGTTTTCTTCCAAATATTAAACTTTAGCATTTTCAATAAATGTAATAACCATATTAATAATGATGATTTAGACATAGATTCTAAAGTTTAACAGGTTTTCTACTGTTATTTCCTTTATACCCACATCTTTTTCAAATTTCAATTCTTTGGATTGACTTCTCGGTTGGGTGGAGTACTTTGAGACTTTTTTTTTTTAACATAGTATAAATGGATAATGCACATTTGGAGTCCTTGCATTTTTGAAATATCTTTCTGTTTTTGTCTACAAGGTAGAGCATTCTTGGACATTGATTTTCTGTCTTGAAATTCCATAGACATTACTCCACTGCGTATATATTTAATTGTACACACACACACATGCATTTAATTGTAAGATACACATGGAAAAGACTACATAAAACATATGTACCATTTACATAATAATCATAAAGCAATTTTTATATAGCTACCAATGAGGTCAAGAAATAGAACATTGCCAGTACCCCAGATATCTGCTTTCTGTTCATACCCTCTCCCTTCTCCACTAGATATATGCATTACTCTGATAGTTGTGACATTCATTTCCTTGATTTTTAAACATCAACCGTATTGTAGTACATTTTACATATAAGAAAATGCACCCATTTTATATGTACAGTTCAATGAGTTTTGACCATCTCCTTCCCTGTGACCAACACCACAATCAAGATATAGGACATTATCAATTACCACAGAAAGTTCCCTTGTGCCCCTTTATAGACCATCCCTAACCCTGCTACAGGCAACTATTGATCCGATTTCTATCACCTCTATATGAATTTCATATAGTTTAGTCTTACCTACTTTGGGACTTCATATAGATGGGATAATATTGTAAATATGTTCATGACTTGCTTCTTTCACTTAATATTATGCTTGAGATTCATCATGTTGCAGTTGTAGTGTGCCCATTTTCGCTGCTGAATAAGATTCCACTGTGTGATTATACCACATGTATTTATCCATTCTATTGTCGATGAACATTTCGTTGTCAGATTTTGCAGTTATGATCAGGACTACATTCTACATTCAATTCATGCATAAGAAAATAAGGACAGTGTATTAGTCACTTGTCTGTTCGCTCTTAGATCTACTCATTGGCATCTATCTATCATCTATCTATCTATCATCTCTATCCATCCATCATCTATCTCTCTAGCTCTATCTTATCTATCTCTCAATCTATCTAGCTATTATGTATCTACATACCTATTCACAATAGTATATAGTCTCTTATTGTTAGGTAATTAGCGTCTATTGTTAGGTAATTATTGTTAAGTAATTAGGGTCTTTTCAATTTTTCACTAATATGTGTTCTCATTTCCAATTTTTTTCTTAGCCTAGATTATGCAAAGCAGAAATATGGGGCACAGAAAAAGGCCACTTTTATAATTCTTTACACCTATTGCTAAATTACATTGTAGAACCAGAGCAGTGTGTCACCCACAAGGAATATATGAGTTCCTATAGCACCACACCGTTGTCTGCCTTTACTACTACCTTAAAAACATCTTGACTAACGGGTCCCTGGGTGGCTCAGGCAGGTAAGCATTTGACTCTTGATTTTGGCTCAGGTCATGATCTCACAGTTTGTGGGATCAAGCCCCAAGTTGGGCTCTGCACTGACAGTGCAGAGCATGCTTGGGAATTCTCTCTCTCCTTCCCTTTCTCTCTGCCGCTTCTGTGCATGTGCTCGCTCCCTCTCACAAAAATAAATAAATAAACATGAAAAAAAGCCATCTTGACTAATTTGGGAAAATTTATAATTTAGTTGTTTTCATATATCCATGAATTTGCTTGCCAGTGAGGATAAACACTTATTTTTTCTGAATATTAGTCCTTTGCCTTTCTTTCTTCTTTTGAGACTTGCGGTTCCATGGTCTTTGCCAATTTTTCCTTTAAGGCTTTAGTATTTCTCATTTTGATTTGTACAAGCTCTTAATGTTTTTGGCATTTCCCCCCCTATTTTATTATTTGCCTTTTTTTTTTAACCACAGAAATGATTTAAATTTTATGTAATTAAATCTAGCTTTGTGCTTGTATTTCAAGTTCTGTGAGCAGCATGATGACACCCTGGAGACTGCCTATCACAGGACATGACCCTGCAGTCTGCCCGTTCACACTCCTGGACGCCACACTGGCCAGCTCCTCCCCTTTGCTCCTAGCCCTTTCCAGCCACTGCCTCTTTTCTCTCTGCTTTTCTTCCCAGAGCTTCTTGTGAAACACTGTCTACACTGGCTGGCTCCGTTTCCTCTTCCCTCCCTTTCCCCCCAGTCTCTCCCAATCTGTCTTGACAAGGACCACATCCCTCGTTCTAATCCTGTCCAGAAGCATCTTGTCTTTCTGCATCTTACTTTACTTCTCTGTAGTGTTTGGTTCAGCCAATGGCTCTTCCTTCTGGAAATGTGTTCCTTTCCCTGCTTTCAGACTCTCCTGGTTTTCCTCTTGCTTCACTTTCCTCCTCCTTACTTTTTTTGCCACCTTTCTTCCTCAGTCCACACATGTTGCTGAACTTGGGAACCTGGGTCCTGGTGCTCTCAGGTAACCCTGTGAACTTCTAAATGTGTGTCTCTCACCTGGACCACAGGTTGTACACTCAGCTCCTCACTAAGCATCTCCACTTGGACATCTAACAGGCATTGAGAAACCCTTAGTGAAAGGAAAAGCATTTCAGGTATAGAGGGAACAGCACATGCAAAGGCCCTGAAATGAGAAAGCATTTGATGTATTCAAAGAAAAGGAAGGGAACCAGTGAGTGTGTAGGCTGATAGGTGGGTGGGAGGGGATTGTATAAAGTAGTGGTGGGATAGAGGACCAGCGAGAGAGGAGGGGTAGACTTTGGTCATGTGAGGTGCCAGAGCAGCCAGTCCCAAGGGCACAGCAGGGCCATGGGGAATTGGGGCTGGAGACACTGGGCAAGGAATCTGAGGTGCTGGTGGAGGAGCAAGTGGGAACTGCTGCTTCCCCTTGAGGTGACATGGGGCTGTACCAAGCGGAGAGGCAGGGAGGGCCTAGAAGAGAGAGCCAGCTTCTCAGGCCACACCAAATGAGGCTGATGAGGACCAAGCAGAAGCATCCGGGTCTCTAACTGGGCCAGGTTGGACTCAGCCTGAACCAAGACTGGCCTAAAGTCACTCTGTAGGTTGTTTGGACCCTGAAAAAATGATCATACATCTAAAGTAGCTGCCATTGCCTCAGGATTCTGCTTCCAATTACTAGCAGGAATGATCTCTGGTGAGGGGCCTGTCCTCCAGACAAGAGGGTGGCAAACTCTTCTCATCAGGGCCAGATAGGGGACATCATGGGTTTTGTGGGCCAGCTACTCAGTTCTGCCCTTGTAACAGAAAAGCTGCCTCAGACAATATAGGAAGGAGCAAGTGTGGTTGTGTTCCCGTAAGACTTGCTTATACACTCTGAAATGGTAGTGTTGTGCAATTTTCATGTATCATGAAATATTTTTCTTCTGATTTTTTCAACTGTTTAAAAATGTAAAAGCGTTTGAGGAGTGCCTGGGTGGCTCAGTTGGTGAAGCATCTGACTTCTGCTCAGGTCATGATCAGCGATTCGTGGGTTCAAGCCCCGGGTCAGGCTCTGTGCTGCCAGCTCGGAGCCTGGAACCTGCTTCAGATTCTGTGTCTTCCCCTCTCTCTGCTCCTCCCATGCTCATGCTCTCTCTCTCTCTCTCCCAATAATAAACACTAAAAAAAAATTTTTTTTATATGTAAAAGTGTCCTTAGCTCATGGACTATAGAAAACCAGAGGGTGGCCAGGAGGCATGGTTGTGGTTTTGCATCCATGTCTCCCAAAGCCCTGCAAGCCTCGTCATTTGTCAACCTGATTTTATATTAATTACTTTACCCAAGCCTCCCATGCTATGGGGAACAGTGACTTTGGCTGTCACACCTCAGTGTAGTATTGTTTGGGTGCCAATTCTTATGGAAGACTCTGTAACTCCTGTGGCTCCAGGGGGCCAAGATACCTTGGTGCTCCCCTGAGGCTATCAGTGAAGTACGTCCTCGCTCCATTCTGGGGCTGTGGTGACCCTTCATGGATCCCAGTTTTGGGCAGGGAGCTCTGCTCCAGTTACCCATCTGGTATGGACCTAAAGCATAAGCTCCTGTCCCCTTGTGGTTGTTGAAATGCCAGCCCTTTCCTCCTAAAGCCCGTATCCATTCTGATAGTTCCCATCAGCCATCTGGTATCAGATCCTGTTCATGGTCTTGGCTTTGAGTTCCCTTTACATTTCTGGCACTTGGGGATTTCCTTTGCTTTTCTTTGGTTTATTTGTTTATTTATTTATTCATTTGAGAGAGAGAGAGAGAGAGAGAGCACGCGCGCGCGCGCGCGCGCGCGCGCACGAGTGGGGGAGGGGCAGAGGGAGAGGGAGACACAGAATCCCAAGCAGGCCCCAGGCTCCCAGCTGTCAGCCCAGAGCCTGATGCGGGGTTTGAACTCACGAACCATGAGATCATGACCTAAGCTGAAGTTTGACGCTTAACTGACTGAGCCACCCAGGATCTCCTCCTTTGCTTGATTTTGAATTCACTTAAGTATCAGAACCTTTGGAGTTGCATTTTATTTATTTTACTTGTATTAATTTTTCTTTTTAAAAAATTTTAGAGAGGGGAGACAGAGGGAGGGAAAGAGAAAGAGAGGGAGAGAGAGAAGAAAATCTAAAGTAGGCTCCATGCCTAGCACAAAGCCTGATGTAGAGCTCCATCCTACTACCCTGGGATCATGACCTGAGCCAAAATGAAGAGTTGGATGCTCAACTGACTGAGCTATCCAGATGCCCCTTGGGTTGCGTTTTAGATAGGATTTCCATGTTTGGAGCTAGAAGACAGTCTGTGTATTGGCTCAGTCTACCATATTGCCTGGAATTTGTCCTTTCTTATTGGATAATGAAATGTGACCACATTAGACATATTTTATAAATTTTAAACCATTATTGCTTGCCTTTGCTCATTCCAATTTCCTTTATTTTATAAAAAAATTTTACAAGGATCAGATTGGGGGGAAAAAAGAAAGCAGAAGAAAACAATGTAAAAGCAGGACCTAGGTGACTGAAGATCTGTTTGATGCTCTTGATGGGAGAATGGAAACCTCCAAGTGTTGTCTGTGCTGAAGAACAGGGTACACAGAGTTGTGCCTACCATCAGTTCCACTCATTCTGGGTCCCCCAGTTGAGTGACTAGTCACATACATGCAAGCAGGAGCCATGTGGCTTTTTCCCTCTGGAGCTCAACATGTATACCATATTTCATTAGATATGGTGAAAGAAGGAAAATAAGAAATTGTGCCCTTACAGCAAGTTTGAAGTGACAGATAATCTGGTAGAGAGTTTCAAAAGATAGTGAAGGTTATAGGCTATGGGTATCAACCACTGGTAAAGAGAAGAAAATGATGGGGGTTATTTATCACTGGAATTACATGTTTAGATACCTGTGTCTTAGAGAAGAATATGCCTCTGGCGTGTAAGTTGAATTGGAGGGAATGTACAGCTGGTTGATAGACCAGATGAGAAGCTAGTCCTGTTCCAGGACTATTCTAAAGATATTTAAAATTTTTACTGAGTGGTTACTACTATGTTCCAGGCACTGTGCCAAATGCTTTATGTTTGCTCACTCATTTATTTCCTATGATGCAAGAATGGTTACCAACTACTCTACCTTATACATGAAGAAACTAGGGAAGAGAGTGATTTAGCAACATGCCCATGGGCACATGGGTAGTACACAATGGAGGTGGGATTTGAATCTGCATAACTCCAGAATCTAGACCCTTAACCAAAACCCTAATACTAAATTAGGTTGATAATGTACAAGCAGGTTGAGCATCCCCACAGGAAATCAGAAAGTTGAGTCTGGAGCCAAGAGAGAGACTAGGTTAGAAGAAAGGGTATGAGGTCAACTGCCTGGAGGTTATGGTTGAGAGAGTTATGGGGAGTCCTCACCCCTAATCTTTAAGTGGGCATGTTTTATGACCCCAAAGTAGGCAGCCAGAGAGCAGGAGCAGCTGGTTATGTCAAGCAAGCAAACCCAGATGGGAAGAAGAATGGGAGGCAGGTTCAAAGGCTCACCTCTGTTGGAGGTTTCATATGTTGGGATTGGCTTTCATGGAGGCTTGGGGTATGATCCAAACATTGTATTGCCATTAGATGAAGCACAAATCAGCAGATTTCCCATGTTGTTCTTAGTCCATTCTCTGAAGTATCTCTTGTCCTTCTTCTCCTGTTTCTAAGTAGGGCTTCAAATTAGGAAGTGTCTAGGAGAAGAAAAAGGAAGTAAATGAGAGAGAAACACAAAGGAAACTTGAACAAGTAGAAGGTGGATGCCCTAGGCTCTGTCATAAACACCTGGATTCCAGCTGGGACTTGGATTTGCTGGCGACACTAGCCAGAGAGACGGGACCATGTGGCTGTCCCCAGCTCTGCTCCTTCTCTGCCTCTCAGGTGAGTGAGGCTGGGGCTTTGGGTACCTGGCATTTCAGGGGGTGGAACAGTGGGCAGAAGGTCTATCCTGGGTTCAAGCCAGAGGTGAAGTCTCAGCAGACACAAGAAGGACACATACATTCATCCATCTGTGTATCCTTCTATCTACTCAGACATTCACCTACAGATCCTACATACGCTTATTGAGCACCAGATGTGTGCCAGGAGCATTCTGGGTGCTGTGTTTAAGAGCAACTTCTGCAGTCAGAAACTCATAGTTGAATGAGGGAGTCAAGCCAGTATGATACAGTATTGAACTTGTTGTAGAAAGAGATTTATTTATATGGTGTGGGGGTGCACAACAAGGGCCCCAAACACTGCTCTTGACCAGGTGCAATTCTTCACCGATGCTCCACTGGACATTGGTCTTGAAAGATGAATAAATTGGCTCAGTGGAAAGTGGGAATAGCTTATGAAAAAGTGTAGAGATATTAAAGATCATGGAGATTTCAAAAATTAGCAATAGTTCTATTTTGTCAGAGCTTAGTTTAAAGGGGTTGGAAAGGTTTGTTAGTAGGAATTAATGAAGGATTTAAAATGGCATCCTCCGCACCCACCTCAGACCCTTTCTGGAACAAGATGTAGTTCAGGCAGGTAAATAAAATTGTCCATTGAAGGTTGGAGTTTCAGAATAGAAACTGTTAAAAATAGGCATTCAACATGGACGAGAGCCCATTCTCTACAGGAAGTAAGTTTAGGGTAAAAATCAGACGGTATTCTTCATGTTTGTAGAATAATTTTTACAACATGCAACCTGCCCAACATAATCATGGACTGTTCCAGAATAGTGAGTGGAAAAGGCAAAGGTTTAAAGGAAGAATACCAGCTGGATGCAACTGGCCAAAACACAATTTTCTTTTCAGTAACACGGTAGAGTAGACAGGATGATCTTCAAGGCCCTCCAGAGCCCTCATAGCCCCGAGATCTTAGACTCAGAAAGACGTTTAAAAGAGATGCATCTCATTACACGTGGGAGGTGCTCAAAATGTCTTGAATGAGGGTGACGATGATAATAGATGTTTTCTGAGTTACCGTAATTAATGAAATGGGCATCCAAAGCAGTAGTGGCTGAAGCCAGCTTGCATCGGCTCATAAGAACTGATTATGGGCTTATCTTCCCAACCCCGTGTCCAGTGACAGCATGTTGTTGGCCTGAAATCAGTCGTGGTGAGAGCATTTACACCACAGAAATTGGCAAACGGTATAAACAATGGCTACTCCTCGACTCCCCTCACCCCGCCTTGTTCCTTACCCAGAGTCAGTTTACCGGCCTATCACAGCTTGCTCACATCTGCTTGCTTAAATCTGATATAATTGTTTAAGTGCCCTAGCCTGGGTGCAATTAAACTGGACTGGAAACCTCTTCCCACTCCTTCATGTGGACTGGCTGACCTCTCCAGACGCACGTGGGCTGACCCTAGGATTCCTCCTGGGTCCAGGTTGAAATTTTGGAGTCACTTATGAATTTTGGTTCTTTTTTTTTCCATCCCAGCTCCTGGCTCAGCTCCTTCCTGCTTGTCCCTACTTTCTCCCACCCACCACACACTGGGGTTATAAACACCATTTGGAAATGTGTGACCACTTTACATTTTTATAGAGGGCACCCCAAAGAGTTGTATGGCTAGCCTGAGAGAGGAAGGGGAGAAAGTTGTAAAGAAAGATGGTGAGGCTCCGGGTACTGTGATGGGGGGTCAATGGGAGGGAGTCAGCTCATGCCCCAAACCTCTGTCGAGAAGCCTAATAGGGTCTCCTTGGGACTGAGCCCTTCTCAGCAATGCGTCACTCCTCCCTCAAGTGTAGTCTGGATGAGAGCCAGGGGTTTACTTTTCCTCTCTTGAGAACATGTGGAGAGCAGAGTAAACAAGAAGTTGTACTCTTGCAGAACAAGTTTGAATTGCAGAAAACCTAGAATGCAGAGCCTCTCTCCAAAGGGAAATATTTTTGTGTGTGACTGAATTTCACGTCTGGCAAAGGCTGCCAGTCTAAGGACAGGGCAAGACAGTCAGCTCACTCTGCTGAGAACTAGCTTTGTTCCAATTCTCCCTGTCCCCAAGGGCTGGCATCCCTATGTGGTTACTCAGTGTTTCTGGGCTTAGAGAGCACAGGTCTCTACTCATCTTTCTGGCTGTAGTCTCCAAACCCTCTGGCTTAGGTCCTAAGTTCAGATGTCCCTCCAGGTCCCCATACCTGAGCCTGGAACCACCTATACTTCCTTGGCAAGTTTCCCCTTGGGCTTCAGGCATACAGCTACTGAGGGGACCCATTGAGATAGAGTCCTGGGACATGGCTTGTGTTTTCCAGGCTCTTTGTCCCTGACGGGCCCCAGCTCTGTGACAGGCACCTTGGGTGGCTCTCTGAGTGTGCAGTGTCAGTATGAGGAAGAGTACCAGAGTTATAAAAAATACTGGTGCCGAGGGCAGAATGAGGGCACATGTGACAATATTGTGGAGACCCAGGGAGAAGCGAAAGAAAAGAATGGTCGCGTGACTATCAGAGACCATGCTGATCGCCTCACCTTCATCGTGACCATGGAGAACCTCACTGCAGACGATGCTGGATCCTACTGGTGTAGAGTTCGGAAAACATGGTACCTGGGCTTCTGGTCATCTGGCACTTCAGTCCAGGTTAAGGTGTCTGTTTCCCCAGGTAAGAGATCTTCTCACTCCATCAGCGGAGCTTATGGGACATGACTGAACATGGGGATGAGGATGGGTGCCATACTGAAGAATGTCTTTAGGCCTTGTCTAGTCCTTAGTCCCAGTGGTGTTGGGAAGAGCCTATGATGAGGGCAGAGAGAGAGAGGTGACTGACCCTTTAGCCTTGGCATGGGTGGGGGTGCATAGCCCAAGGTGCCCTTACTCTCTCACTCCATTGCCTGGGAGGCCCCTCCCTGCTGGACGAAGGCTATTTCCACCATGCCCTTTGGAAACCTGCACTAAAGGAAATAAACTCTTTGTATATACATCTTCAGCTTGCTCACAGAACATTCCCTCTACTATACTGTCCTGAAATTAACCTCACTCCTCTCATTTCAAAAAATAAGCTTCTTGAGTGGAAGCTGCTCCTTCTCCTACCTCGATGTGCTATAGGGCTGTGAAGCTGTGTCCAAATTCTCCCACCCCTTCATTACAGCTTCCAACCTATTACTGTCCTATCTGCCTCCTTTAACACTTTTGTCACATGGCCACACCCCTCTACCTCTCCTTTGCATGGCCTTCCATTAGTTTCTAGTTTACTCCCTAATCCCTGCCATTGTCTTGGGAGTTTTTAATGAATAACTAGTCCAACATCCTTTTCTTGGGTTCCATGGCCTTCTTGACTGCAGTGGCCCACATTTCCACTTTCCAGAATTCCACTCCATGGCAACGTTGCACAGCTTTCTGTCACCCTAAACTGGTCCATGTTCAGAACCCTGCACTCAGACATTGTACTTTTGGACAGCTTTCTGTGCATCGGCTTTCCCACACCCTCACCCCCACTGGCCCTTCTATTCTCAACCTCACATATGCCTCCAATCCTTTGATGCCTCTCTCCATTCTCTCCCCATTTATTACCCATCCTGCTCCTGCCCTGATCTCACTTCCTTCCTCAACCTTCATGGAAGACTACATTTTCTTCTCTCACCAGTACCCTCCACTCTTGTGCACCATTTCCCTACCTACTTCTCGAAAACTTCATCCCTGGATCCATCTTAAAATTAGGGTGAGCAACCATTGGGGGTTGCCCAGGACTGGCAAGTTCCTTGGGATGCAGGACTTTCAGTGCTACAACTGGAAAAGTCCCAGGCAAGCTAGGGCAAATTGATCCCCTACCTAAAATCTATTTGCTCCAGTACTGCTGAAGAATAGTCACAGAAGGCACCTATGGGTGTCAATACAAATTCATGGTTTCTAATATGACCCTCCTGTTCTTCTACCTTACTAAGGGAGTACGGGATACCAGACGTGAACTCTCTCAATTTCTTTTCTTCTGCGCTTCCACACTTCTGTGCTGCTTAACTCATTCTTCCGTCTTTCCCTTCTAGGTGGAAGGAAGTTTCCTTCTGTTCAATAACAGTCATCCTGAAGCTGGCTTCTCACCCTGTAGCTCCTTGCCTCTCCATTCCCTTGAGCCAAATTCTCTCTTTGCGCATCTGTATCCTTCTTCCATCGATTATCCACACTCTTTACCTCAACCTGGAAACAGGCTGGAGTCCTAAAACTATCTTGTAATCCCTGCGGCCTCCGCTAGGCATCACCATCCCTCATGTCTTTCCTTTGTCTGCCTGGAAAGTAGCTGAGGTCCATGTCCTCCTTTGTGCTCCTGCTGCACCTGATGGAGTCTGCCCCTGTACTCACTTTCTATTGACCTGACTCCATCTATTTAGACTCATCCCTGTCCCTCCTCCCTCTGGGGCTCCTCATCAGCTGGGGAAGCCCCTGAGAGACCCCTGCTGTCACCCCAGGCAGAGTCAGACTTGGGATAGAAAGAAAGACCTGGCACTTACTAGAGGTGGCTTTTACGACCAGTTCTGAAAAAGTCTCACTTGGTCCCTGAGGGGCTCACTCCATCCAGGAGGTGGCCTGGGTCTAGCTTCAGAGTCCCTTTTGTGAGTGGGTGATGATGTGCAACATTGGGTCCAAATGGGCACTTCATGCATGGCTAGGGAGAGGGCAGCACCTGATGTGTGACTTGTCTCTAGCACCAAGTAAAACCGCAGAGGAGACCACATGTCAAGCTGCATCTGACATCTTTCCGGGGCTGAGTACCAAGCAGAACTTCAGTGCTGAGGAAGTGTTGATCCACTGCTCGGGGTAAGGGATCACAACCTACAGATCACAGAAGAAGGGGTTCAGAAGCCTTATGGGACCTTTGGGTGGGGGCTGACAACACACCATGCTCTTTTTACCTCACTGTCTGCTGGGTTTTCTTCCAGTTCTGGTCCTGATTTTTACATTCTCCATGGCTGCATGGGGATTCCTCACAGAAAATACCACTTGTTCTGTGAACCCTCTCCCACGTGGGGCAGCTACAGGGAACCAGGAGGCTGGTTCAGGTGGATGTGCAGCCTCTCCCACCCCACCCCACCCCCTCTACTTCTCCACCTGGTTCTGGACTCCAGGTTCTGGTTCTGTCCTCCCAACCCAGGCTTGCCTCCAGAGGTCTTGGCTGTATCATAGATCCTATACCAGGAGCCACTTGTGGGGTCCAGGGCAGGGAGATGGACTGGCTCCAGGCTGTTTTTCTCCTCCCAAAGATACCCAGAAAATGCCATGATGTTTCTGTAAGGTCCTGCAGGACAGAGGACAAGGGTCAGGACTTTAAAGTGAGGGTGGGGGTGGCTTTCACGATCAAGGGAGGGGAGAGGGCCCAGAGAAGTGCTGCCCTGATACGTGTCCTTTCCAGGTTTGATCCTAAGTGATTTGGGCTCAGGTTGCAGGGACAGCTGGGGAGAGAAGGGTCCTGGCCCCACTCCCTTGAAGAGGCAGCTCACTTTCTGTCCCTATTTCCCCGGACAGGTCCTCGTCCAGCAGCGTCCACTTGCTACTCCTGGTCTTCCTGAAGCTGCCCCTGTTCTTGACATTGGTGGGTGCTGTCCTCTGGGTGAACAGGCCTCTGAAGGGCACTGGAGGAAGTCAGCCTGACAAAGAGAAGCCATCACGTAGTGCACCGTCCCCAGGAAAGCCTTGTCCAGGAATACAGCCCTTCAGACCAGATAGAAGAGACCTTCAGACTCTGGACTCCAGGGCAGGGGGGCAGCAGTCCCTGGATTCTGGAGGCACCTAAGTCTTCTGGAGATATTGTTCCTGTGTCTCAAGGGAGAATCCTGGGTCTTGGATGACACTTGCTGCAAGTGCTCAGGTGCAGGAAGGATGAGTCTCCTGGGCCAGTGTTTGGGGTCCTCCTCTCTCTATCCCAGATCCCTTGGCCCCTTGCTTTTATGCCTACCTCTCAAGGGCAAGAATTCTCTAGAGGTTACTGGAAAGTCCAGCCCTTTACTCTTTTCATTGCCACAAAAGCTCCTCAGCTCAGTGTCTCCCAGGGTAATAACCACCTCCTCCCCGTAGCCAGGAGGCTCCCTGAGGACTTACCCCTCATAGTCTCAGTCTTTGGGCTCAATAGGGCTTCAACCTCACTTGTGTCCCTGTGATCAGGGAATGTACGCTGTGCTCAAACATCTCTGCCTGGGCCGGCCATGACTGAAGAGCTTTCGGTTAAAGCCCTGGAGCTGGTTGGAGCTGCAGTGGGTGCCCCCAATATCACTCCCAGAATTCTCCACCTTGGTGGGCCTCCTGCACACAGGGCTGGTGGACAGTCCACTGTAGCAGAAGTGTGGCTGAAGCCACCTGTCAACAGTTGGTGCTTTCCATAGGAGAAGCAGACAGTTTTCTAAAGACAAGGACACAGAGGTGAGGAGTACCTCCCCACATCAGGTTGACATGATGCCACAGCCACCACGGGGCACACCAGCCCTGGAAAGGGCTTCTGTTGGGTTGCGTAATTATCCTCCTAAGGATATCCTCTTAAGGAGGTTGTTTAGTAATTTTCTTTTATTAGAACCCGCCCCCCCCTGCCACGGGTATGAAATTTTAATACCAAAGATATACTATACGCCTATGTTCTATATATCGATCAGTCGATCCATCTATCAACTGATCATCTATGTTTTGTATATAAAAATAATTTTTTGGTATAAAAACAGCATTTTTTTCACCCCCCCAAAAACAGCGTTCATCGCCATCGGACATCAGAATGCATGGATAGAGTATGGTGACAGTGACCTTGTGTGACTTCTGAGGCCAGGCCCAAAGGAACCCTGTAGCTCCATCCTCCATTTCTTGAAATGTTTGTTTTGGACACTCTCCTTCTCAGAACCCAGGTCCACATGGAGAAGCCTCCTGTAGGATCTCAGGTCAACTATCAAGATTGAGATCAACCTGGCACATGCTCTAGACACGCAGAAAAGAAGCTTCCAGATGACAGTAGCACCCAGCCATTTAGGTCCCCCCCCCCCTTCCACTGCCATTATGTCTTCCCAGCTGAGGCCCCAGACTTTTTGGAGCAGAGACAGGCCATCCCTGCTGCACTCTGTCCGAATTCCTGACCACAGAATCTGTGACATGACAGGCAGATTGCTGTTTTGTGCCCCAGAGAAGATCTAAGCAGAGAGAACTGGATGTTCCAGTCCCAGGCAGGACAGTTCAGAGGAACATGCTGCCTCTGCCAGATGCACAGTGGGCTGGGGGGAGGCCCCTGGGAGATACAGCCCTAGGAGACACAGCCCTATGGTGGGAACCTGGGGCCGACTCCCCACGTGGTAACATGCATGGGCTCCTAGGCCTGGAGGTATTGCCCTTTTCAGAGGCGTGAATCAGAATCATGTGGGCTGGAGCTGTCAGCACTGGTGGGAGGTGTTCCCCACAAGAAGTCACCTGCTGCTGTAGAACACCCCCCTGCCCACCCAACCCTCTCTGCAGTGCCCTGACCACATTCAAAGGAAGCTTCTAGTTGAAAATGGACCAGCACCTTTCCTCACTGACAGACTCAAGGAGAGGAACACAGCACCAGCAAAATGCAGCTGGAAACATGTCAGGACATGTCTCCAGCAGCAAGGGAAATAAAAGCAAAAATGAACTTTTGGAACCTCATCAAGATAAAAACTTCTGCACAGCAAAGGAAACAATCAACAAAACTAAAAGTCAAACAGTGGAATGGGAGAAGATATTTGCAAATAACGTATCAGATAAAGGGTTAGTATCAAAAATCTATAAAGAACTTATCAAACTCAACACATGAAAAACAAATAATCCAGTGAGGAAATGGGCGGAAGACATGAACAAACACTTTTCTAAAGAAGATATCCACAATGTGGATGGAACTGGAGAGTGTTATGCTAAGTGAAATAAGCCATACTGAGAAAGACAGATACCATATGTTTTCACTCTTATGTGGATCCTGAGAAACTTAACAGAAACCCATGGGGGAGGGGAAGGAAAAAAAAAAAAAAGGAGGTTAAAGTGGGAGAGAGCCAAAGCATAAGAGGCTCTTAAAAACTGAGAACAAACTGAGGGTTGATGGGGGGTGGGAGGGAGGGGAGGGTGGGTGATGGGTATTGAGGAGGGCACTTTTTGGGATAAGCACTGGGTGTTGTATGGAAACCAATTTGACAATAAATTTCATATATTGGAGAAAAAAAAAAGAAGATATCCAGCTGGCCAACAGACACATGAAAAGATGCTCAACATCACTCATCATCAGTGATGATGTTTTGATACAAATCAAAACCACAATGAGATACAACCTCGCACTGGTCAGAGTGGCTAAAATTAACAATTCAGGAAACAGCAGATGTTGGCGAGGATGTGGAGAAATGGAAACTTTTTGCACTGTTGGTGGGAATGCAAACTGGTGCAGCCACTCTGGAAAGCAGTGTGGACGTTCCTCAAAAAATTACAAATAGAATTACTTTATGACCCAGCAATAGCACTACTAGGAATTTATCCAAAGGATACAGGAGTACTAATTCATAGGGGCATATGTACCACAATTATTATAGCAGCACTATCAGCAATAGTCAAATTATGGAAAGAGCCAAAATATCCATTAACTGATAGATAGATAAAGATGTA